CAAGCTAGTCCCTCTAGATGAGAAGAGTTACAAAGCAACATTGCAAAGGGTATGGTAGAGAATTGTGGCCATTTGGGTAGTCTTACACAATATATGAGGAAAACAGTCAGATATTTATGATGTCCCCAATTTTTTAATACCACTTGAAGTAAACATTTGTTATCTCTACCCCCTTCTTCTGGTAACGATATCTTTTTCTATTTGAAGAAACTGTTTCTTCCTCTTTTGGTCACATGGTTTGAATGGGGCTGACCCTACCTCCTCACCACAGACACTAGTCTGAAGCTGAACTGACCCAAGGAAGCAGTATAAGTATACACTCTCCTCTGGAGGGATTGATCCTGGGATATCCACACAATACCCATTGGACACTCGATTTATCTTTTCCAGATTTTTTTCTCTCACTGTTACTAGGAGAAGCCCTTTAGCTATCTGATCAATAAGGACATGAGTATTCAATGTGGAGAAACCACAATATAAAATAAAGTTGTCACAGAGTCTCTGGTTTTAGTCATCCTTGGAGTGCCTCCTACCATTGTCTTTATGCACTTTGGTAATGGAAACAAATCTGCTCACTTTTGCCCAGGCGGTTCAGATTGTGTTTCTGTCACTTGTAACCAAAGAATCCTAACTGAAAGAGCTCAAAACATAAAATTTACAACAGAAAAGGTAATGTTTGTACTTTCTGGGTTACTCAAATAGTTTTATGAATCACTTTTTCTTTTTACATGTAGAACAGGGGTTGCGATGTAACACAATGAAGGAGGGTGGAACTGAGAAGGACTGAAGGGTATCTCCCTTTCTACAAGAGGCAGACACTACTCAGAGCAGGCAAATTGTTTTCTCAAGAGAACGTGGGCCCACTGTTGCTTGATCTTCCAATTTCTCAAAAAGCCTGAAAAACCTCAGTTTAATGTTAAAGTCCACAAATTTTAAATAATACCAACAAAATCACCCATCATATAGACCAGCTACATCCAGGAACCACCACTTGGAATCTCTGTCATGAGATTATAGTGAGACCACCAAAGATGGGGCTGACCCACTGCTGAGTTCCATACTTCCTTGGACTTCCTCATTGCTCCCTCACTTCCATCACCAACACAAAAATGTTGAACACTTTATAAGCACTATAGTCCATGTGGTAAGAATAGAGGTCAAGAATGAAGATGTTGGACTTAGCAGCCAAGGTTACTCAGCATCCCAGCCTAAGGGTATATGATTTGAATTTGTGCCTTAAGAAAATGACAAATTGCAATGTTATGGACCCGCAGGCTACTTGTATACAGTTAAAACTGTGGATGTTAAGTCCCTAAAGACAAAGCTCTACTTTATTACTCTTAAATATAGGGCAGGATTTACCAATTATCTGTTGCCTATTAGATTCAAGCCTACCTTTCTATACACTGTTCTAAGCTAGGAGTCATAGTTCCCAGACACCCTTGACAGCCGACTTTCAATTAAGGTTCACTAATGGGACGCACTGGCAAGAGATTGGAAGGCGGGAGGTACTGAGAACACAACTCACTTAGCACTTCTAGCTTGACTAGCTGTCCTTCCAGCATCATTTCCCAGTAATGCTTCTGCCTTGCTGTGCTCCATCAGAAGTGCCAGCAGCAACCCAGGCTGCCCTGTCCTACCTCCCATGGTGGTTTGAGCACCAGCCAGGCTCAACCCTTTGGTTGTCCAAACCCTAACTATTGGTCATCATGCATCGATCAGAGCTCCAAGTATCAGTTCTCCAGGGACTTCAAGATCCTAGATTCTTTTATTCTCTTTTATTTCTCTCAATCCCTAAAGATAGCGGTTGCTTTCTTAAGTTATCAATGTCTGGGTTATGTCAACATCCACTCCTTGCTCTTTTATTAAATCCCTTCTGTTTGAAATGATTGACATGGTTTTCTTGACTTAACCCTGACTGATAACAATTATTAGAACAAAAGGTTTACTTTGTATGCTAGAATTTCTCTTTTTTTTTTCTTTCTGAAATAGTAATGTGAAAAAATAGTTTCTTCAAATGCCAAGATCCTTACTACAGGGAAGTAGAACCAAAAATCCACAAAAGGCACCGCTGTAAAATAGTTACGATTGTTCTGTCATTTATACCTAAAGCCCTCATGACTCACAAAAAGCCTAATCCTAAAGAGTCTGCTGTAGTTGACATTTATATTTCTAAATCTGTCTTTACTATTCTTCTTTTTTTAAAAAAAAAATATATCTTTATTGATTACAGAGAGAGGAAAGGAGAGGGGAGAGAGAGATAGAAACTTCAATGATGAGAGAGTCATTGATTGGCTGCCTCCTGGACGCCCCCGACTGGGGATCGAGCCCGAAACCCGGGCATGTGCCCTGACTGGGAATTGAACCCCGATTGCCTGGATCCTAGGTCGACGCTCAACTGCTGAGCCATGCCCTGCCGGGTTGTCTTTACTCTTCTTGAATCTATTTCTATACAGGCTGACTGAAGCCAACATTTCAGACCACCATTCTGAAGAATGTTCTGCCAATTATGCCAGTGGGGTTGGGTCTGGATTTTAAATGAGTTAATAGTTTTAAATTTTAAAAATACTTGTTGATCATTTAATGTTATGTATTAAAGTATTTTAAATCAATTTAAATTTAAGTATTTTTAATTTAAAATTGAATAAGTATTTATGGACCAACTCTATTTGGGAAGGGGATGGTAATTTCTCATAGTAAAATAGCTGCCTTCATCTGATGAAAGGATTCACTGAAGATATTGTGAAAAGTTTAGGTAGAAGTTGAGATATACAAACATGTGTTCCTAAAATATGAGATTACTTTTTTTTCCCCTCTAGAAACATCTGTACCAAACTAATAATTATGGTTGCTTCTTGGGTATAGCAATTGTTTTATTACTGTCTTTTCTTTTTATGTTATGTACTTTGTTTTTTAAATGAAAAACATTTTAAAGTTCCTCCAGTGAAAATTTAAAATACTTGCATTTAAAAACTAGGATTTACATTTTATTTTTAAGGAAAATGCTTAAAGCATGCCTTTTCAACAACTATCCACTGGGCACCTTTGGTGTGCCTACTGTTGTATTAACAAAACTCAAAATTCAAATTCCTACCTCAGAGAATCTCAGTCACATTGGCAAGGTTCAGAGACATCTTTGGAACAAGTAGCTAACACATAATAGACTCCTCATCAACATTTGTGTAACAACTACATGAATGTACCATCAAAAGTATTTATTCAAATGCTCACTTCATAGAAGATTAGCCCTATTCTGTATATTTATTATACATATATTATATTTCACTACTTCTAAGGTGCACATCATTCGCTTTTCAACAACCCTGAAATCAGAATGGGACTTACTATCAACGTAATTTTTTAAAGTATTGTTTTAGAGACAGTTTGCAGCATTTTCTCTTTTGTAGTGGTAAATAAAATAACGGTATGTTTTGCATTGATGACATCTTAGGTTGAGTAAAGTGCACCATACATTATATTTTCTATATTTTAGAAAATACATGTGACTATTTAGGCATGTTTCCTCAAGGTTCAACTGGAAAAAGTTTTCATGTGGCCACCCCATTGGATGAACATTCAAGTCTCCAATGTTCACATGACATTCATACCGACAAACTTATAAATGTTAAAACCAACAGCTGACAAGTAACAATTTATAAAAAGTTGTGCATCTATGAGGGGTTATTTCTCAAATTTTTAATATTACTATTAAATTTTAAACATGTATCTCCTATTTTGAACCTAATGTGAAGAAGAATGTACATAAAACTATGTGCATTTCTAAGCATTTATGTACTTAAAAGATTTTCATATCTTAGTGTTTGGAATTAATCAAAGGTTTAAAAGATCTGAGAAATATGAAAATGACTAAACTATATAAGAACTCTGAGAGATGAAATTAACTATAACATCAAAATGAAATGTTATAGCAAAGACAGGCAAAGAACACTGAAAAAATAATAATAATGATAAAAGGAACAAAATATCACCAGAATAATTTTATTCACCAGCATAAACTGTGGCTCATCAGGAAGCTAGAGCCTCCCTTAACCACACAATGCAGGGATCACTCTGAGCGCTGCAACAGAAAGCAGCAGGCACATGAGTTAAAGACACCAAATGAATACAGAAAGGTACTGACAGCCCACAAGTTCTGTGAATGTTATACCAGGCACATCAGGTTTAATCACACAGTCCTTTCGTCTTCATCTCTCAGCCTTTCTCTCTCTTTCATATTTTCTCACCGAGAAGTTTTAGCTGATGTGAAAGTTTGGAAAAGAGGACAGGAAAGGGGAAAAATCATCCTTTCAACCTGTTGGTGACCGTGGCCTCTCATCCTACGATTGCCTGGGCTTCCAAGATGACTCCACCGAGGACCTTTGAGAGCCATAGCTCCCTGCCCTTCCCTGGGCCATCCCCCTCTGCCCTCTTTTCTGGGGTCAGGAATAGAGCCTGGAGGTGCGTGTGCCCTTCGCCCTTTGATCCAGGCACTCCCTCGCTTTCTGCTCCTGCCAACTCAAACCCAGACTCTCCTGCCCACGGATCATAACAGACCAGCACTCCCAGTAAACAGGGCCCTAGAGCTCTTTTTCCTATTGTATATTTTAACGAATAGTTTTAGAACTTGACAAGCTTTCATCACTATAAAATAAAAAGGGAAATTGACTTATCATGGTAGCAAACGGCGAACACAGAAAAAAACCTTGACTTTTATCATCAGTGTTATATCAAGATCTAAAAGACAAGAAAGAGACCATGACTAAGAAAAATACAGCGCTTTTGTGGCTTTGAGTTTACAAAAATAGTGTTGTCAGTTTCTAACTACACTGTTATTATCCACCAGAATAACTTCCCCTTGACTTCCAGGTTCCGATTTTTTAAAAAGTTCTCAAGTATCACAATTTCGTGGACATATTTGGTTAGAGTGGAAAGGGCAAGATGAAAGCCAGATAAAATTCATTTAGGTGAGATTCAGGCTAAAATGTCTGTAAGCAATAACATTACCCGTGGGAGGACACTGACAGACTCCGTGATAGTATGAGTCGCTTTTTCACACAAAATAGGTTTGAGAAAGCCTTCTGAAAACGCTTGTGACACAGTGGATACAAAAAAGGATTGACAAAGGAATTAAACCACTGAAGCCAAAATGTGATATGGTACAGGACTGTTTTGGGGCGCTCATCTGGGGAGTAAATTGAAAGAACAATAGTGAAAAGAGAGTAAGGGGCCCAGCAAAAGGTGAAAACACCTATGAGAATGGCCAGTGACTTGGCTAATTTCCTGGCTCTGAGCAGTTCAAGATGTTCTCTTTGGCAAAGGGATAGGTTTCCTCGTTGGGACAAGGAACGCGTTTTGGAAGCAATTATATCTCTATTCTTCTGGGTTCTTGCAGAAAACAAGAGGCTGCTTTTTCTTCCCTGTCTCTCGACATGAGGGGATGCTGCTGCTTCCTTCTGTTCAGCAAGAGCTGCCCTAGAAAACAGTCCACACTTGAACAAGTGTCCAAAGGTACTGGAAGAGGTGGCAGTGAGTCCAGGATGGCTTTGCAACCTGCTGAGGTGACCACGCTTCCATACTCTCCAGTAAATATAGACGTTGAAATAAGCCATTGAGAAGACTGGGACCAGGAATTCCAAGAATGACATGATGGCAAGAACATACCATTTTGAAATGAATCCAGGTTCACAGTGCCTCCCCTTTGTCTTCCAGGCTTCTGCAACTATCATTACTGGCCCATGCACCAAGAAGGCCAGCACCCAGACAGCCACCATCAGAGACACGATCTTCCAGATCTCAGTGTGTCGAGCTCTATAAGAGACCTAAAAGAGGCCAAATAAATTATTTTAAGTATTATGAAACATATGTTGACTGCATAAAGCATACCATAGGCCCTCGGGAGTTTCAGGGATGCGCAAGAGGTGAGGATAGTAACTGGGCCTGGCTAACATGATGTGGGCCAGGCAGAGGGTTCAATTTCAGCGAAGCCTGGACCAAGATGCAAACTTTCTTAGTGATTTTCAAGAGGAAGGGCACAACCCTCAAGGTTAAACCTCTTGATACTATAGAATTTGTCAAAATCTGAACCATTAAATAACTGAAACTGGGTGCATCTTTTCACAGTGTTTCCCAATCTGCCAGCTGGGTCAGGACGAGCATTTTTTTTTTAATGAAATAGCATCTTCCACATCAGAATGCATCACACACCGTAAGGGTATGTATTGTTTGATGAAACTTTTGCTTTGGGAATATAGATACATGTATGTAAAGAAAAATGCATGTACTGTCATAGTATAAAATGCATTTCTTGGCTGGATGAACAAAGATGAAGGAATTAAGCAAAAAAGCATATACCTATATAAAACAGAGACACAGACATCAGTGTGGTGACAGCCAGAGGAAAGGGGAGTGGGCTCGGTGGAGGTGGGCAAAGGGTGATGAATGGGGACGGAAAGAGACTTTGTTTAGGCAGTGAGCACTCGCTGCAGCGTGCAGATGGTTTTATAAACCAATGTCACCTCAATAGATTCAATAATAAATAAACAAAGTGCATCTCTCACTATAGTCACAGTCAAAAAAGTTTGAAAGCCACTGGCTTTCCTGATTCTAATAAAGAAACAACCTATTCTGCAGTTCATGCTGATTCTTTAAGGTGGGATCAAAAAGAGAAAGAAAAACATCACTTCCAAGAAGATGGCACACAAAAAGAAAGAAGTGTAAACCTACTGTGGAGAGACACTACAGTGTTATTGAGCATTACCAAGGCATTTCTTTCTACAAAAGTTTCCACTCGATAAAAACAGTGCCGACGCTATAGTGGCCAGCCACTTTGAGAGACATGGCCGTGGCGAGTGCCACTGTCTTTTTTAAGGGTAAAGAATGTTCTGGATCCACTTATTCACAATGACAGGCTTCCATAAGGGAAAATGAGATTCTGTGAGTAAGGATTGCCCTCAGATCACAAGACCCATGATCTTTGATAGATCCTGAAATTTTCAAGAATATCCTCTGCAAGAAATCTAAAGATACCCAAAACCAACCACTTTTCTACCTAAAGGAGAAAGTATGAACCAACAATTTTGTAAAGGGGCCTGTTTTAGATTAGTAAGTTTTTTTTCTCTAGCTAAAGTGTTCCACATTTCTCTGATTTCCTCACTTGAAGGGAAGAAATGAAATTACAACATGCCTCCCTTTTCACCAGCTCTCTTCTACTATTTTCTCTGTGAATTTTTAAGTCTCATTCTACCATATTCCATCATTTTTATTAAAAGGGTGCACCATTGCCAAGCACTGTCTGTCTTTGATGGATTGTACATGCTGGGGAGGGCTCGACAGTTGGCTAGAAGTAAGATAAAACTGGTTTTGTTTCCTTTTTAAACTGAGTTATTTTTTAAAACTTCAGGAAAGTGGTTTGGGGGTGATTTTTCCCCCCAAACTACTGGTATTTCTGTGGCTAAACTAAAATGCATATGGTGCTTCTGAAAACAAGCTCCCATGTACTCCAGGCTTTTTTGCCTTCTGCTTCCCATGCTACTGATTAATACACCTCTTGCACTACATCTAATGATTATGAAGATGGTAACAATACCCAGATGATCATAAAACTGCATTTAGTTTTTTAATTGCTCTTTTCAGCCTTTGTAATAAGATGATGCAATCTGCTGGAAAGTGATCTCTTTTCTGTTATGCATAAGGTCAAATGGGATAATAGACATCTAAGGGAATTGAGAAGACAATGCCAATCTTTTTGTATCTGCATAGCATTTATGAGAGATAGACAGCTCAAGCATTGCTTGCACCTAGGTTCAGGAGAGTTGAAGTGACCTCCTGACATCAGTCAGTGGCCCACCTCTCACCCACTATAGAATATGTCCATTATTCAGAATATTGCCTCTTAGCCTGCAACAATATTATTCAGGGTCTTAATTTCAACATCAAGCTTCTTTTTTCATCTGCAGATAAATAAATACTCTCCTCTGACTATCTTAATTCTGCATTCATTTTCATTTCCATTCATTCCAGTTATATTATTCTACATTCTCCCACTCACTCTTGCTTCAGTCCTGCAACAACATGGATGGATCTAGAGGGTATTGGCCTAAGTGAGATAAGTCAGACAGAAAAGACACATGCCAGATGATTTCACTCATATGTAGAATCTAAAAACAAGATGTGGACTCAGTATACCACTTCTGACAACTTGCCTTGGATTTTCTTTGATGCCTTCCCACTTTAGTAGCACAAAGGGGGTTGACTTCACCAAATCACGTGCAGAAAATGTTCACCAAGGGCCAGTGAGAACTTAGTGCCAGATAACAAAACGGTAATCAGGCTCCTCTAAGATTTGTCAATTAAACAAAAAATTAGACTTAAAAATTTTTTTGCTTGAACCCAAATTTACAAGTACATACTCTTCTAAGGAAGATAAAGTAATGGTTTGACTTACAGCATTCGAGACTGACTGGTATCGATCATAGCTGATGAGTACAATGTTATATACAGATGCTGTACACAGGAAGTAGTCAGTAATGAGCCAAAATGCACAGATTTTATTTTCAGGATTCCAGTTGAACAGCAGTTGTGGGATGTACAAAGGAATGGAGATCACACCTATACAGAGAAAAAGTAAGGGTAAAAAAAATAGCATATATCAATGAAAACAAAGAGGTATAGTACGCGACACATGATGTATCTGAATTGACCAAAAATGGTTTGATTATAGTTTAGAAATTAATAATATTTCATCAACAAACTCAGGACTGATTTCCTACACATTCTTTAAATACCATTTTTATAATAATTTTCCTAAGCCTCGTACTTTCAGTGGCTCCTTATTACTCTCCAAATCAAGTTCAGGTCCAGACCTGTACTTCCAGCCACATACAATGCGAATCATCTTTATGTTTATGATCCAACCCACGCAGGATGACAGGCCACTCATCCCTCAAACACCTCTCGCATTTCACATCTCTTTGCTTGACCAACAGCATCCATCCTTCCTAGAATGTCCTCCTGTCTTCTACTGAGAAGTCTATTTGCTTCCTGTTTATTCTGCATTCAGTTCAAGAAACGACTTTCTCCATATCATTTCTCTTGGAGCTTCTTTGGCAGAAGCAACTTCTCTGTCACCTGCACTTTCGTAGCACTTCTCTCTTCCTCCTTCGTGTACAAGAACATTCTACTTTATATTGTCATCATTTTTTAACTCATTTCTCCTGAGGATTTGAATATGTTGTGAGGCAATCTTTGTATTTTTCACAACATATAGAATTGACAAAAATGCTTGCACATTTAACTTAAATAAATAACAGCTAACATATTATGCAATTACCATACACCAGACATCGTGTTATGTGCGTTGCATATATCACCTCATTTAACCTTCATTGGAACTTTGTGAGGTAGGGACCATGCTAAGTTAACAAATAAAGAACCTGAAGCTCAAGAAAGGAGACATAATTAGCCCAAGGGCCACTTAGATAGTAAGTGAAAGATGGATTTGAAACCAGGCAATGTGATTTCAGAACTCCTGATTTAACCGCTACCCTTCACTGAATGAGCAAATTTATGAGTGATATCGCTCAGCAAAGCCTGCTTACCTGTGAAAAATAACTAAACTGGGCTAATTTCCTGAAGCTTTGCAGGGGGTTTCCATTACATTGACATTTCAGTCAGGTGACACTACTCACTGAAAACATGAACTATTAAGTGGAAGCTCAATTTTATTTTGTTAAGTATCTTTATATTTTATCAGGCACTTCACAGGAATTGTCATTTTTTTATATCAGAACCAAGTTAACCTGTCATAGTTATAGAACAATAGTAAAGGTAAAAGAAAGGAAAAAGAAAGCATAAAGGAAACCCTGCATTTTCCCCAAACAAGATGCCGTTGTAACAGAGCAAAAAGCTTGGTTTCTCTGGCTCCATTTTGTTCCAGCCTGTGTTGTTCCCATGGCCTTCAAGTTAATAGTTCCTGCTTTAATCATTAGAAAAATTCTGCTTGGGGCTTGAGTTTCTACTAAAATAGCCCCTCCCATTTTCCCTTCCCTTTACATAAAAGAAGCCTGAACTCTTTACTTCCTAAAGATGGACTTGAAGAACTACTGGGGCTCCCATCTTCTCAGCTGGCACCTTTTCAGTCAATAAACCTTGCCTTATCCAAACTCTGATGCTTTGAGTCTGGGCCTTTTGAAGCATCAGGCACACAGATTTTGGACTGGTAACACCATGAGGATATAATGGTCGGTTTCAGAACCGGTGAAAGGAAATGTAGAACTTAGTATTCTGTATCTAGGTTTACACACAAATATAAGAAACTAAACACCACAGAGACGAAGAGTTGTGCAATTAGCTCTTATATGTAGTTCATATTGCCTGCTTGCTTGTGTTTCAATTGTGTTTTTTATGATAACTTCCTATGGTACCTTCCATCTGAAAAGTGTGTGTGTGTGTGTGTGTGCATGCTCGCTCACATGTACACACTCGCACATGTGTGAATACACGCCTATGGTATAAAATAGGTCACCAGGTTCACCTGAGATAAAGTATCTTCAAAACAGAGACATTTGTTATATTTCAGTCCAGAGTTGTAGCTCCCATTTCTCCCCAAATGAGTATTTTTCATAAACACACTCATTTCTTCCACAGAGTGAGAAAGAAGAGTACATTTCAGGAATCACTTGCATCACAGACACCAATTCTCTGTTTAAGATTAAAGAAAGGGTGTAAGTTAAATAACCTTTTTTTTACACTTTGTGATTTATATAAAAGAGGAAGGGTGTGTTCAAAACCTTAGGAGCTGCTTGAAATAGAGCTTAAACCAGGCTCTGGTTAATCCTTTTGGTTTTAAGAAAACCTTGCCGTCACCTTGTGTTCTACATAATGTTTTAGTACAAATGTCATGCTTGGTCCCTCTATCTTGTTGAATGGTGGAGACATTTGTGGCTCATTCCAAAAATTTTTTTTAAACTGTGAATTGGGAGTATTTCTATGATATATTGTTTCTACAATTTCCACTCTGAAAGCATGCTTCTGGGTCAAATGGACTTGATAAGTAAAACTATAAGCCAGTACCTTGAAAAAGAGGGATAAGCCTTTGGCATGACATATTAAGGAAGTGAGGGGAATGAGAAAAGACAAACTATATTAAAAGACTGTGGTGAGCCCTGGACTGTGTGGCTCATTGTCCCAGGCACCGAGGGGTCACCGGCCTGATTCCTGGTCAGAGCACATGCCCAGATTGCAGGCTCGATCCCTAGTAGGGGGCATGCAGGAGGCAGCTGATAGATGTTTCTCTCCCTCCCTCTCTCTCCCTTCTCTCTCTCTCTCTCTAAAAAATAAATCAATAAAAACATACTTTTTAAAAAAGATAGTGGTGAAAGTTAATTGAGTAGGCAGTTAGACAGGCATAGGCAGAGCAGGCCAGGTACAGAATATCACCAGGGCAGAAAGTCCCGGGTGCCAAGCAATGGAAAAAAACTAAAGAAAACAGCTATTATAGGTTAAGGCCTCACTCCTCAGGGTAACATTTCATCCCCTAGCATGTCGTTAATCATGCAGTTTTGATCTCCTGACCTTTCATATTGCTAGTCGTGTGGGTTATACCTCCTTAGAGGAGCAAGAAGGGGGATGGAAAATAGCCTCATATGACTACCAGACAAGCCCTTGCAGGGACCAGTCCCTTAAGCATTAAGACCTCAGGACAATGAGGTTCCGACCCATCAAAAGTTTTGATCAAACTAGAGATAAGATCTAGGCCTCAGTTGTATTTTAGCTCCAGGCTCAGAAAAGCAGCAAAACAAAGTCATATCATGGCTGATATCTGGACCAGATGCAATGACTAATGACCCCTATCCTAGCACCAACCAATCAGTAAAGACCATGATCCTAAAAGGGCACACCTAGAAAGCTGATGAATATTCTAATGAGATCCTCCCCTGAGACCTCCCCTGAACCCCCTGCCTTTAAAAAACAAATAAAAACCCTTAAGATGAAGGACCTGGTGCATACTCTCTCTCTCTCTCTTTCTAGAGCATGCCCACCTCCCCCCCCCTCCTTCTTCCTTAGGTGTGTATCTTTAGCTTTCTTTCTCCTAAGCTCCAAGTGTCCTTCTTTTGCCTCTGTAACTTGTTTCCTGAGCCCATGCAGCCCAGCTGGCTCACTTCTGCCTCTATGACTTTCTTTCCAAAAGGCTAAATAAACTTCTTGCACTAAGATTCTTGGCTCTGAACTCTTTTTTCACCAAACTCAAGAACCAAGGTCTAACACTACCACTAACAAAGGGGGAAAAAAGGAGGTGAAGGAACAGGGGGAGGAAAGATGGAAGGGGAAGAAGGAAGAGAGGAGAGGAGAGGAGAGGAGGGGAG